CTAAAGTTATAATCTGAAAATAATTGACAAAATTCTTGGTATTTAAATATAAATTTTTACAGATTTTAATGTTTTTGAAAAACAAATATTAATTATATGTCCGGAAATGTGTCGACAAAAATAATATTGAAAATCAAAATTATAATTTAAATTTAATTGCTTATTATTTATTGTGTTGTTATTTGACCTAGTTCAGCCGTATAAACCAGTGTGATTTATAAAATTAATAACTTGGTGATTATTATAAATGTTATTTTACAGAATATTCTTTGTTATACCAATTATTTTATAAATGTTTTACACTTAACAAGAATTTCTGACAATTATTTGTTAGAATAAAACTAATATTTTTACAAAAACAAGAAATTAAAATAATAATAATGTAAAAAGTGATAAACATTTCAAACAAAATAATAATAACATTACGTGACATAAGATTTACTGAATTTTCTTATAGTGTTTTGAAAAAATGCTATAAATATATAATAGGTTTCAAATTGGTTTTTATCAAAAATATAACATTTTACTTTCTCCCTCTCTCTCTCTCTCTCTCTCTACCAAATTGAAAATAAATTTAATCAATAAGTATGAATATAAAATATAAGTATGAAATTATAGATTAATCTATTAAATGTTGTTATACAGAACTGTACATAACTTTGGTTATGATTATTTAATACTTTGTTACGTATGTCGGTTAGTTTAAGAAAAAAAATTTACTTTACCATTTTTTCAAATTAAATTTTAAATATTTAAACACACATACTATTTAAGAAGGGTACAATTGACTGAAATAAAGACTTTATACCTGCTTTTACCATAAGCTATAGTGCTCTAAATATGAATTCAAAATTATTATGCATAATATTAATATTAATTTCAATTATATTATTGGTTGCTGGAAAGTCTGATATTAGTAACCATGATGGATCGGAAATATCTGCAAACCAGGAGGGCACAAAGATGGTGAAGTCGGATGTGTCAGCCCCTAGGTTGAGTGCTGTTCCAGGTGCTAATATCCGCCATAAGAGGGGTCTATTAGGTTACGTGTTAGACCTCGTGGCCATCGTATTATTGATTTTGCCTATCTTTTCACATATGTTATCAATAGTTCTCTCAATATTAGTGATTGTATTGAGAATTATTTTGCTTTAATTTTATTGATTTTTAAATATTCTATTTTAAATAAATTATTTGTTTTATTAGTAACTGTAAAATTATTAAATTAAATCAATATTAATTAAAAATTTATAGGGAATTATTTTAATTTAAATAGAGTATTACATTTTAATATTTATTAAAATAATTCTCTCTCTCTCTCTCTCTTT